GGCCAGCGCACAAGAAGCCAGGAAGGGAAATATGCTGAAGAGTGCAATGACCGGGACAAACAGGTTTCTGCACCTGAGTCAAGGGAGAGGCAGGAAGTAGCGGAATCTCATGAACCAGGAGGAGGTTTTTGGACGGCAAAGAGCCAGGTTTAATCATCTCTGGGAGCATTAAGGCGAGAGGGCCAGATCCAGGGCTGCAGACGAAGTGCAGCTCTGGTGTGGGGGCTGAGGGGGGTTTCAGCTACCCCAGTGGATGCCTGTCATGGAGTGTGGGGGGATACAAGGCCCTGCACCCCCGGCTTCCTGCTATTCACCGTGACTCTCAGCCAGCCAGTAAAGCAGAAGGTTTATTTATTGAACACAGTCCAAGACAGGTCTTGCAGGTACAGACAATAGGACCCCCTCAGTTAGGTCCATCTTGGGGTCCCAGGGGCACCACAACCCCATTGGGGGGCAGAGCCTCGTCTGGGCTCCCTCCATTACCAGCCAGCTCCTGCAACCCTCACTCCCTCCAGCGTCTCTCACCCAGCCTCCCCCGGCTCCTCCCCCAGCCTTTGTTGAGTTTCCCGGGCAAAGGTGTCACCTGGCCCCAGCCCCCTCCTGGGTTCTCACATTACATGCTCCGGTATCTTCCCTCAAGGCCAGTCTCCCATCCCCCAATGCAGACCGTCCTAGCCACACTCCCCACTCAGCATTCAAAGACCACATTAAGAACAGTCCCAGTTCGTCACAATGCCCCCAGCCTCTGGGCAGCTCTACTCTAGGCCAGCTGCCAAAGGGGCTCGGTGGTTATACGCAGCGGGCATGCCCCCTCCGCTGGGGGCAGATGGACGAGTCCCGTTCTGCAAAGGTGGCTCTGTGGATCAGTGCTGCGATTGCCATGCAGTGGAGAACCTAGGAGCATCCCTGGACGGGGCTGCAGAGCCACACCCCCCAGTGGGCAGGGAGGGCGGGAGATGCTGCCGGTTGATGCTCTATAGCTGCATGAATTGGCACATGGATCCCTAACCTGGTCTCTAGGCCCTCAGGTCATGAGTTGCTGAATTCATCAGGGGAACGAACTTTGACGGCTTTGCCTGCGGCGGCCCACCTGTTGTGTCTCCCCCCCAGCACCCCTTTAGGAGATCAGGCCCTACTTGTGGGGAGCCTCTTATTGCCAAAGGTCCACACTGCCCACTGGGGGAGAGACCTCTTAGATCTGGTGAATGAAGGTGAAAAACTGATGGAGAAGCAACCACACAGCCCCAGGCAGATACAAGACACCTAGGACATGACTCCCCAGGCAATGCCACTGCAGCCGTCCAAAGGGGTTCTGCCAGCACTGGCTTCAGGCCCCCCCCCTCACATGAGTTTCACCCATTGCCATAGAAGCAGGCACAGAGCAAGACCTCTGTCTGCTCCCTCTCCCTTTGCCCCAGACCTCGAGCTGAGTCACCAGGCCACTCACTCCAGAAGAAGGCATGAAATGAAGCCAAAAGCGCTGTGCTCCCAGCGCAGGCAGCTCCTGGGTTGTGGTCTCGGACGTACGTCTCCCCACCACATGCTGGCAGGGCTGTGATCTCTAGGTGCAGATGAGGGAGAGGGCAGCAAAGGGGTGAAAGTCATGGCGATGGAGTTCAGAACAAAGTCTGGAATCGGGGGCGTGTCTGGTGCTCAAAATAAAGGGCTGACTTTCCATATTTAGTCCAAATAAACACAGGCCAGGCTGGGAGCAGGGAGCTGCCAGACTAGAGCCTTCCAGGGCAGACCCAGCCCAATTCCCCACATGGGAGGCAAGGCTGAGCCAAGAGACCCTGCCCAGCCCTTGTGTCACCACAGCACCCAGCTGCTGCCCTTGGGTAGCTTCTGCTGACCCAGAGCCCCCAGGTCCTGCCCTGCCCCTGAGCAGGGGGAGGAGAGATAGCAAGTGCTGCTTAGGAGTGGGCAGCATCCTCCCAGGCCATGCGAGCAGCTGGCAGGTTGCCATGGGGACAGTGACACCTGCAGCTCAGAGTACATTCCCTTCCCACGGCATTGAGGGACTGAGGGAGCCACCCTCTCTGCACAGCCTGACCCAGATACAGAGACGGGGATGGAAGCAGCCCTGGACCAAGCTCCCCACCCCTAACCCCAGCGGGTAACCTCAGTCTGTCTCCCTAAGATCTCCCCAGCCTCACAGCTATACCCCCATCCTCTCACAGCCTCCCAACCCCCAGATACACAGCTGGCCCAGCCCAGTCTGCTCAGATGCCTGCCCAACCATGGGCTCTAGCCCCCACTCTGCTGACAGTCCGCTTCCCTGCCCCCCGATACTTGGAAGAGGGCCCCTCGGTCAGCCTGACTCTGGCAGGGACAGTTTCCACCCCACTCCCTAGCAGGGCATCTCCCCCTGGCCTAGCACTGGAGAGGCTGCTGGGGCTTGCTCGCCCTCTCACCAGAGAGAGACAGGGAGGGCTGCAGGAGGGAATGTAAAGACCAGCTGGCTGTTACTACTAGCCATTCCCCTTGGGCCACTGGGATCTGGGAATGCCCCCAGGGCAGGGCTGCTATGGGAAAGGCAGCAGGATGGGGTGGCCCAAACATAAGTTGGACTTGCCTCATACCCCCAGCTCAGCACGTGACTTTCAGTGAATCACTGATATCCCCAGACCTCAGCTTCCTCTTCTGGAAGTGTGACCTCACTGCATTAATTAGTGTTTTTAAACACACTAAACACCTGACAAGCTACTAAAGTGCTATAATTACCCAGTTAGCCAAGGCATGCACCTGCCCCCTCCCATCCCCACTGCCTTCTATTGGTAGAATGAGAGCTCCACAGCTGTGTGTCATGATCCCTGTTTTACTAACAGCTGCTGGAGATTCTCCTTTAGCTCACACAGAAGGGGTAGAAGGAGCAGAGGTCTATACCCGGCTGTAACCCTGTGATTTCAAATGGCCAGTGTAGCACAATAAAGTCTTGAGGGGCCACAGATTTGTTGCTACATTTCTCATTGTCTTTTGGCATCTTCTACAGCATCTGCCTGTGCTGTGCCACTAATAACCCCGCTTCTTCCCCTGCTGCCTTTGAACCTGCTCCACTTTGGCTGGCTGGATTCTTGCAATTTGTACTGCTCACATCACTGTGGTATCCGGGCCCCAACACCACGCAGTGCTCACCAGATAGAAGGGCCGGCTCTTCTCCCCATCATCGCTGTGATGTGGTGTGGTAGCCCAGCACAAAAACCACAGGTTCCACCCCATCAGGCCTCTTAGAATCATAGAATCATAGAATATCAGGGTTGGAAGGGACCTCAGGAGGTCATCTAGTCCAACCCCCTGCTCAAAGCAGGACCAATTCCCAACTAAATCATCCCAGCCAAGGCTTTGTCAAGCCGGGCCTTAAAAAACTCTAAGGAAGGAGATTCCACCACCTCCCTAGGTAACCCATTCCAGTGCTTCAC